TTAAATAAATATTTTTAAATTATATTTTAATTATTTTTAGATAAATGTTTTATTATTATTTATTTATTTTTTAATATTAAGAAAGAGATGTCTTAAAGCACCTAGAAGTCCTTTTCTGATATTTCTAAATAAATAAATATCTTATTTATATTTAAATTAATATATTTTCATAAAATTATAAATTTAAAATAACAATATTATAAATTAAATATATCTTTGAATTTTTAAATTTCTGATAATAGAGACAATTTATAATTGATAAAGTATCGATTTTGGGCGTTTTAGGGTACTAATCCTTCCCTAAACATAATCGACCACGAATCCTATTTTACTAAATTTTTTTGTTATAAGCAGATCAGTTTTATCTTGTAAATTATGTTTTATTCAAAACTATTTTAAAAGATCATTTTTAGGTATTTGACCTACCTAACCCAAAAAGGGTCAATGGCACTCCCAAAAATGTTTTTTTTAATCATTTATTTATTCATTTTAAATTTTTCCCGCTAAGTAAAAATTCGTACCCTGATGAAAACCGGTTACGACAGTAACGATCCTTCAATGTTTGAACAGCTTTGACCATGTTCCATATGCGTCGATGTCAGAAGTTTGGTTAACACCTTGATGTAAGCTGGTGGCTTGTTATTTCATCTATGAGTCTGCAAAATATATTTTAATTGTAGATCAAAATGGATGAACTTGTTAAATCAGGCGAATTGGTCAATTTGGAAGCTGAGATATTTAAAGGTTCCTAAGATGTAATCAGTCGTGGTTATCTACGACAAGGAGTTCAACGCTAAATCAACAAGTCTCAACGATGTTTTTTTCTTTTCGAAGCTGCGTGTGTTGTTTTTGATAAAGGCGACTAATTGCGAGTGGGCTTTTAATATGGATGATTGGTGGGACAATCCGAGGGTGGTGACTCAAAATCCGCTAGCGTCCGGTTGGTCTCGTCCGGTGGCTAATTTTGAAAATTTTAATGTGGATGGAGATGCTAAAAAAGATAAAGCAGGTTGTGGTAGGTTATGCGGATTAAAGAAGAGGTAATTCGAGATTTTTTTTTTTTTTTTTTTTTGAATCCGGTTCTAGGTTTTGGGTCTGATTTTGCAGGTTTATAGGCTGTTAAATTGGCGTTGGAAGTGTTTGTCGAGGCAAATTGGGTTGACAAGGCTTCTGTGGTTGTGGAATCTAATTCAAGATTGTATTATATTGGATTCAAAACGTTTGGCATAGGCCTTCGAATTGGTTGTCAATTCTTGCAGATATTAATAAGTTGGTGAAGAAGATCGGCAGGGTACAATTTACGCATGCCTCAAGAGCTAGCAATGCCCTAACAGTTGGTCTTGCTAACGATGGTTTGCTTAGAACAAACTCATTCAAAGCCTGGTCCTCATTCAAAACTTTTATGCTTTATGTTTAGCAGTGGTTAGCTTCGTCATTAGGTGGGGTAAGGCTTCTGCACATTGGTGAGCTTCGTCATTAGGTAGCGCTTATATAATAAAATAGGTTAATTACTGGAAACATTATCAAGTACAATAACATATTAGGTAGCACTTATAATGTAATAGGTAGCGCTTATATAATAAAATTGGTTAATTACTGAAACATTATCAAACACAATAACATATTAGGTAACGCTTATATAACGTAATAGGTAGCGCTTATATAATAAAATAGGTTAATTACTTAATTTGTTATTACAACATATTAGGTAAACGCCTAAAATGTTACCAAGGATAATAACCGGTTAATTACTGGAAACATTATTAAACACAATAACATATTAGGTAGCGCTTATATAACGTAATAGGTAACGCTTATATAATAAAATAGGTTAATTACTTAATTTGTTATTACAACATATTAGGTAAACGCTTAAAATGTTACCAAAGATAACATAACCGGTTAATTACTAGAAACATTATCAAGCACATAATCGCCTAAAATGTAATAGGTAGCGCTTATATAATGTAATAGGTAGCGCTTATATTGACTTATTTTCTAACTAAATCGGTATATTTATACCGGTAACATTGCAAATTTACCTATTACATTATAATTATCAGTTTCGATGTTTTTGGATCGATACAATTTTAAATGTATCGACACTTTATGTGTGCACCTCGTTGGGCATTCATTCTAGAAAAAAGTATTGACACAAACTTAAAATGTGTCGATACATTATGTAGACCTATTTTCTCATAAAACATGTATATTTCTACCAGGTACATTGTAAATTTACTTATTACATTGTAATTATCGGTTTCGATGTTTTTAGGATCGATACTTTTAATAAATGTATCGACACTTTATGCGTGCACCTCGTTTGACATTCATTCTAGAAAAATGTATCGACACTTTTTAAATTTGTATCGATACATTATGTTGATCTATTCTATCATAAAACCGGTATATTTATACCGGTTACATTATAAATTTACCTATTACATTATAATTATCGGTTTCGATGTTTTTAGGGTCGATACTTTTAGAAAATGTATCGACCATATGTTTACCTATTCTCTCATTAAACTGATATATTTTATGTATTACTTTATCATAATTGGCTTCGATGTTTTGATGATCGATACTTACAATAAATGTATCGACATTGTTTTGGAAACTTTATGTTTGAGAACCATACTAGACAAAATGTTGGAAACCAAATCTTTGTGTTTACTAATTTTGTCATTAAAAAAATCTATTTTTACCGGTTTTGTTATTGTTGGGCATAACAAAACCGGTAAAAATTACCTAAAACATTATTATTTCTACCTAAAACATCAATGTTTTTTAACATTTCTGGTAAAATGCCCAACAATAACAAAACCGGTAAAAAAATAACAAAATTGGTAGTGATTTTACCGGTTTTGTTAAGAAACCCGGTAAAATGCCAAAATAATAACAAAACCGGTAGAAATAATGATGTTTTCGGTAATTTTTACCGGTTTTGTTATGCACAACAATAACAAAACTGGTACCGCTTTTTTTAGCCGTATATTAAGCGCCGCACGTGAGCATTTTTCGGAGTGTGGTCTGTTATGTTGGTTGTTTATTTATTTGGGGTAGTCCTTTTTTAATTTGTTTTCTTCGTATTTGGTTGAATATTTTTTTTCTTCCATTTAGGTTTAGGGAGGTTTTTAACGAAATATTTTACTTCGACTTAGCTCTATTTTTTGTAAAATAAATTCTTATTGCCGAGAATTATATATATACATATATATCTTAAACAGTTGTTGACAAAGATAAGTTGTAACAAAAACCATACATGAAATCACTTAAATTTCATTAAAAAAAACCTGTATAAACACATTATACATCAAACATTAGGTTATCATACTACACATCATGTATCCCTTACCTACTATTGAAATTGAGGAAGGGGGAACAACTTAGAAACATTTTATCCTTAATGATGTTTGTCTAAAAAAATTAAATATCTTACTTGAGTCGTACGGCAATTACAAAACTATGCGGGTTTGTATACAACTATCTATGATCAAAATTATTTTTATTGTGTTTATTGAATGCATTATTTTAAGATTTAAGGTTAAGGGTTTAGAGGTTAAAATTTAGGGTTTAAGATGTATGCTTTTATATATTAGAATTTAGTATTAAAATAGACATGATTGTGTAAATTATATTTTTACACCACCTGTATATCAAATGATTTTTATTATTAAATTTTATTTTTTAAAAAAAAGTGGTGGGTGACAATTCACTATTAATTTTCAGTATTAAGTATTAACCTAACCTAAGTTAAACACAACATTTACCTTCCTCGTTGAATAATCAAACACTCTTTAAAGCATCCAAACTATAAAAGTCTCATTTGAAAGAGACCAAAAATAAAAGAAACCTAAAATTTGTTGCCACCAACTCACCAACGATTCTCAAAGAAGAAGAAGCCATTCTGTGAAAAAGGTGAAGTTCAGTTGGAATCAATGAAATCAAAACGGAGCTGCATAAAAAGGAAGAGGCCTGCTTCCCTTGGAAATATCAATGCGTTCAACAAAAAGATGATCAAGCATTAAGGTTCTGTGAAAAAGTTGAGGAAACCAGTTCCGAAGATCATTTGATGTTGTTGCGATGCTTTCACGATTATGGAACAGGAAATATAACAATGTTTGATCTGAAGATGAAGATAGCCGATCACTTCCCAAGTTTCATTAATGATTTTGATCGTGTTTTGGAGCTTTATGATGAGAAGATGGATGACATGGGGAACAAGAAAGAAGAAGAGGTTGATAATGGGATATTGATAGAAAGCTATCAGGTTCTTCTGGAAGAAACTGCAAGACTTAATTGCAAGGGAGCCACTGAACTTGAAAAACAAGTTCTCAACCGTACTTGCTGTTGAAAGGGATCGTACTCCACGGCGCACGCTGAAAGGAGTACAAGCCCTGCTGAAAAGGAGTCAAACGAAAGAGAAGACAATTTGTTAATCATGGATGCATTCCACCAGGAAGAATGCAACAAAGTTGGATAGAGCCATAAGGGATGGGGTAATACAGAATCCAACGGTGAAGGATGTGAACAACTTTTTCCCTGAATACAATTTCAGTTTCATAGCCAAAATGTATGGGAGGGAAGGGTGGTCAATGGTGGATAAACTGTGTGATAAGTCTCAAACATTTCTTCCAGTCCTTATTAGGAGGCTGTACAAGATGGAAATTGAAGCCCTTCCACATTGGACTTTTACATTAATTCATTTTCCTTTTTCTAAGGCTATATGTATCCTCAAGTTCACCTTCTCGATTCATTTGTATGTATTCAGAAAATTATATATGCTAAATTTACATTCATCTGCTTTGTTTTCATGTTTGGATTAAGCCACCTCTTCTCAACCATCTCTGCCATTTTCTTCATTGTAATGTAGGCTGATCAACCATAATATGATGATATTTAGAACAACAAAAATATAGTAATCATTAAAATGGAAGTACAATACCCACCAACAAAATTGGCAAAATGTATCAGTGAATGAAAATCAAAGTGTGATAATTAAACTAAGAGTGGGGTTTAGGCTTAGTTTGCATCTCTCCATTCAATTCCCAAATTTGCAGAATCCTGAGAAAGGATTATTCTTCTATGACCGTGCAAATACACCCTCCGAACTGCTACATCTTTACCATCTTCCATGAAATGACAGATTATAACAGTTTACATTAATCATACAGATATCAAAACAAGACGCCAGCCCCACCAGTTTTAATTGATTGGACGAAGGGGTGGGCGTGGTATTAACGATGGCTTTAATTCCTTTGGCTCAAATGATTCGAATGAATTGTTTTCACGAAATTCTTCGACCAGAGCTTCCATTGGTATGGCTCGTAGCAATTCAATAGTCCCTTTGCTTGGAACATCTTGCTCACTTCGGATTGGTGTCGTTCCACTTGGCTCATAATCCTATACATTATTTTTGTTGATGCACAAATTTGAGTGTCATACAGTCGGGAGGATTATAGTTCAAGAGCTTTAAGCATAAGCATACCATATATCTTTGTTGGAATGTTTCTTCTGCTCTCTGCTTGATCGATGAAGCTTGACTCGAATGATCATCCTGGAATGTTTCAAGGCTTTTACTATGAGCTTTAATTGAGTCCACGATTCCCCGTGTAATTCCTTGTTCCTGTTCTGACATTCCTGTGCAGAATCCCACAAAAAAATCATAAGAGGATTCCATTTCCAAAAGTAACTTTTGCTAGAAGAAAGATACAACAAAACTAGTTTTAGATATTAGGACCGGCAGTTAGAACCAAACATAAGCTCTACAGTCTAGACTCTAGATTCTAGAAGAAAGAGACTTGCCATCAATGTATTGAAGTGTATCATCAGTATTATTCAAGTGATATTGCTCAGCTGCAACGTGGGCACTATAAATCTCGGCATCATGCTGCTCATTTGAATCAGTAGCATTCCTGAAAGAAGCATATTGAAATCAACTTCAAGGAGAACAAAATACAACAATGAAACTGATATTCTAATATTCCAACATAAATTAACTCTGGAATGAATTTATTGTTAACTTTCGAGAAGAAAAATAAACCAACTTTGCATGCATTTACAATGGGAAAAACACTGCAGAAGTTAACTGCCAACCTGATAAGTGATACCATATCTGAAACATGTTTACTACCCATCTCATTCACAGATTCCTGAGTAATTTCGTAGTGCTTGAATGCAGATTCAGCAGCAGACATACTTGAGTAGAAGACAGAAAAAGAACGTGTCAAAACCAAAAAGGGGGGAGAGATGGATTCAAAATACGAACATGGCATAATTTACCAATGCTGTAGGAGTTCCTCGGTACGACAATGTTTGGCAACTGAGTAATCAGCAGTGTCTTTAGCATCTTTCTCTGCCTGGATGGCAAATGCTTGCCATTTTCGTTTAGCATCTGTTGTAATACCCTCCATGGAGGAAACATGCCCATCCAAAAATATTTTGTTTACAGCAGCGCTTTCTTTGAAAACAAGAAGTCTTGCATCCACCTGCCAGAGAAACCATTGCTTAGTCTTCAAATAAGCATAATCAACACTAGTAACCAAATAGAGAATGAACAAACCAGCTCTCTTTGCCGACGAACATGGTTATACACAAGATTTGTCATATCAGCAATAAGCTTCTCAGCATCGGACATCGATTGCTCCTACATGGCATATGCTTGATGAATAAGAAATTTCAACAATGTATCTCATGTCAGGAAATAGTAATATGCATAATATACCTCATAAGCGTTCTGAAAGCTAGAAATGCTCTTCATTTGAACTTCATCAGCTTGCACAGCATGATTCTGAACCCTCACAGACTCTTCTGAAAGCTTATCCAGAATTTCATTGGCATAATCAGAAATGTCCTTTGTTTGATCAATACTAACATGGAACCTCTGTTAAACAAAAGGGGAGAGAAAAAAACGAAATCAGCATGGAAAAGGAAAGAAATAGAGTAAAGAAATCTAGCTATGCAACCAATCTACAGGAAATTGTTCTAATATAAATAGCACAAGCAAAACAATATTGTAGGTAACAAATATTCATTCCATAATAAATACATTTTTTAAATGCATCTCCACTTCAAGGATGGGTTCCAAATTGGAGCACAAACCTGTCTTAATTCCTCTGCAAAAACAGTCATTTCTCCCTGGTGAGTTGCAAGACTATGCTGAAGATCATCAAACATTGAAGCTGCTTTGCTGGCCTCAGATGAAAAGAACTGATCCATAGTTCATAAGAAAAAGGGAAACAATTAAACCAAGGGAAAACTCAAAATAAATAAAATAAAAGCAACCAAACTCAAAATATCAGCAGCTACCTCTTCAATAGAATGTGCATTTGATGAAGCCAGAGATGAAATTTTATCTAAGGCAGCATTGGAGCTAGCTTTGTGCAATCGCACTATGTTTTGGACTGCCTCCATGTGGGAAACATGCAAAGCTCTTGCAGCTGTCACCTTTTTCTTCATTTCCAAGATAGCCTAAAAGCAAGATTTATGAATAAAAGTTCAGCCACAACTGTTAAATTATATCCACAAAAGAACTACCATGCAGGAAAAGAAGTAAAGTTCAAGGCTAATTCAAGGGGAAACCTTTCAGTACCTTATCATGTATATCAGTAAAGGAGCAACAGAGTTTCTCAACACTCTGAAGGTGCTCATTTTGCTGAGACACTGATAAGGCCACCAGGTTGTAAAGTGTACCAATTTGTTGGGCTAGTTCTGCCTGGAAGTTGTTAACCACTACTCTATTATCAGTGTTCAGTTTGTCTTCTCTTCCTATAAAGTAAAGCATCATAGGGTCAGATATCAACTCGTTTATATACACTAAATTGAAATAACTAAGAAGAACAACATACCAATTTTTTGGAACAATGAAGCATTATCCTTAAGAGCTTTCTCCAAGTCAGACCTTAGCACACAGGCTTCATGCGCCAGAGCATTTTCTATTTTTGACCATTCAAAAAATAATGTCAGCACAAAATAAATATTAATAGGAAAGATTCAAGTAAGTACATATTGATATGTACCTGCTTTTTTCTGTTCACATATAATAAATTCTTTCTCCTTCAACACATAGTGACACTTCTTCAGTTCATCTTCAGAGTTGGCAAGCAACTTGACAGTTTCATTCAAGTTTTTCTGCATTTTTCACCTATTTACTTAGCATGAGTCTATATTATAAAAGGATCGGAGAAAAACCTAAACACAGTTCACCTCAGTCATCTCAAGTTTCCCACTCAAATCAGAGCATTGTTGAACTTGGGCAACGTACTTATCTTGCAATTCCTGAAGTTGCTGTTTTGTAACAAACATAAAAAGGACAGAAAGTTGTAAGCCAGATAAATCAAACAAACACCACGGATCTCATGACCAGGGCTAATTGAAAGTAACAACATAGCAAAGGCTGACCTTCTGCTGTGTTTCTAGAAGGACCCCCATTTTTTCAATCTGTTCTGCCATTGCCTAAAAAAATGCCAGAGAAACCACATGAACAATAAGGAATCAAAGGTATCATTCAGTATCCCTGGAAAATGAGTGTACTAAATAAAAAGACTACAATTACACTTGTATAGAAAACTCAGAGATAGAGTAGACAAGTATACCAAAGTTTCCAATAGTAGCAAAAGGCTATCACATTCAAAAATTGGCATAAAAAAATTATAAAATAACAAAACCTCTGGCTAACAGGCATAAACATACACCCTAAATCTAAAGGGGAAGTACGAGTTAAACTGCATACCTTCCTTTCACTTTCTTCTTGGTAATATCGCTCTTTTGGAATATATACACCATTCTTTTCACGAGCAGCATACACCTCTGAGGAAAAGGACATGAAAAAAGCAATGTATAATAGCCAATGTAGCTTATAAGAAAATTAATATCTTGGCCAATATTGTTAATTGTTTGAATAGCTGTCCAATAAAGAAACATTTTACCTGACTTTAGGCGTTCAATTTCACCATACAGGTCCTTTATAAGAGTTGATTTCATCATTTTTTGGTTAACCTACATAAAGTTATCAATAAGTTAAATGTTAAACCTTTCCTGATTTCCAAACAACAGTATCATATAACTAGCCATAACAATAAAACAACAAGAAGTTGCATGGTAGGGACAAGAAACAATAAGTGGATATTTTCATAGCAAAAAGATTGCACATTCACAATTTATATTCAACTAACATTCAGGATATAGTAACAAAATAATTACTTTCTTCCACAGGCATGTATAATCACGGCACTTTATTAATAACAATTTCTAAATGAGAAGATTATAAACTAACTTTAAGTGCATAAAACTCAAGGGAATTCAGAGTACTATTTGAAGCATGAATGATACATTAGTTTCCAGGAACATAAACTCCCATTTATCAAAATTCAATTTAAAGCGAACAATGTTGCAACTTGCATGTCAATGCAATTCCAACAAAGTTGATAGAAGCTATAGCAGGCACTCGTTAACTGTAAATTTTAGCAAGTTTTTAGCTATTGTTTAAGTAATAAAAGAAAAGATGAAACAATCAGAACGGTCAAATGGGAATGAAATTGACTTGTTAGCTAATGATTGTGTACAGCAAACCTCAGGCTTATTCTTTATATTCTTTGCCCTGTGCGCATAATCCAGTGTACTTAAGGTCTCCTCAAGACAATGGACAGCAGGAGAAACTGTAGCTATAATGCAAGTCTTTGTCCGTCCCCCAAGTGAATCACGTAGTAATCGAGTAAGCTTGCTATCCCTATATTCCCATTAAACTAAATAATTAGAGAAAAACATGAAAGGGATATAGGTACCAAGCAACAAAAAGAGGCGTTTCTGACCTGTACGGAATATGCCCAAGATGCTCCACAAGGGCAGTTATAACTCGTCCTAAAGTCAGTAAACTTTTATTAATTTCACCTGCTTCTCTTGCACGACACTGTAAATGTCAACATCAAACAAAACATTAATGATTTTAACTAAAAGATTATCTGGTAACAACTTCCGAATTGATTAGCAAATATGCAAGAAATACATACATCCCTAGCACCAGAGCGGGATATATTTTCTGAGCCTGCTAAATCAACCAAATTCAGCTTCCCACACTTTATAAGCTCTTCGCCTTCTGGCGTAGCTTCCTTGATATGAATTGTAATAGTAAAAAGAGAATGTGACCGACTGAAATTGACCAAATTTTTTCAATCAACAAAATGCGGAAAAAAAATGGCTTAACTTCACTCAATCATATAAATCAGACAAAAAAAACATTACCTTGACTGCTTATTCAACAAAGTCTCAGCAGTTCGACGCTTAGCAGAACCTCTTTCAAGCAAAGTAAATATCTCACTAGCACTTGTAACAATTTCTTCTTCTAATCCTCTCACAAGAACTCCCCCTTTCCCATCTTCCATTAATGGCAACTGTTTCTTCAGTTTCTCCTCCAAAATAACTTTTGAAATTTCTTCAGGGGCAAGCAAATCAGTAATCTCTTCGTTATACAGTTCCAAAAATGTTACTTTTACACTGTATTCCGCATTCTGGCCCTCCAATGTATCAAAGATCTGTTGAACTGCTCTTGGAATAACCCCTGCCCCTGCTGGCAGTTCGCCATTAGGACCCGTCTGTGACATTTTTTAGCATAAATTGGACAAGTTATAACACTCAATTGCGCAGAGGGATAAAATTAGAAACAAAATTCGACCAAAACTTACATATAATAAAATCTAATATTACCTTTGCCCTTTTGCATTCACCTTCCATAGTGTAAGTTTTCCCAGTGCCGGTTTGACCATAAGCAAAAATAGTACAGTTAAAACCTTCTAAAACCTCATTCACAATTGGAACCACAGCTTGTTCATATAGGTCTTTTTGTTGTGCCGATGGCCCAAATACCTATTTAACATTAAAGAAACACAAGTTCAACACTTACTGCAGCAAACAAATCAAATTATAATATTAATTAAAATGAATAATCACAAAAAAGACACCTTATCGAAAGTAAAAACTCTGTCAAACTGTTTTCCGGCAATGTTTTGAGAAACAGCGACTTCTCGTTGGTACTCATTACATTTCACCACCTGCGGCGCATTGTTTCTTAACTCCTCTTCATTAGACGGCCTATAAAGTTATTTTTACCCCGAAAAAAGAATCAAAATTGATGAAATCATATAAAATAAGCCAAAGAAGAAGAAAAAAGTAAGAGTTAAAGCTGAGTGGAACCTGCAACGAAGGAGGACTTGCACGTTGACGCCTTTCTCTTTTTCGTGGCGACCGGACATTTTCAGTCGTCGAAGAGGAGAATCGAACGAACCTATTTTCGATTCTTCGGTTATGTATTGAGCTATGTTCTTATTCTGCGACTGTTAGATCCGATTTTTGAATTCAGTTCTTCTTCTCCTTTTGTTTTTTGGGGATTTGTTTGTGTGAAATGAAATGAGAAGAAAGAGCGGGTTTTCGAATGAAATTTGAATTTGTTTAGGTAAACTACGTGTTTAGTATTTAAACTATTACGTTTTACGCTTTAGTACTTAAACTTTTATTATTTTCAAAATCATACCTAACATCTTGTTTTTGTTTCATTTTAGTACCATGCTGTTAAAAACTTAATGTGTTTAGTACTTAAACTATCAATTTTAGTCCACTTTAGTATTTAAACTTTCAATTTATTTTCAAAACTTAACGTTGAGTTTTTAAAGGGTACTAAAATAAAATAAAATTAAATGTTAGCTATAGTTTTGAAAAAATTAAAAATTTAGATACTAAAACATATCAAAATTAATAGTTTAAGTACTAAAAGCGTAATTTACTTTTTTTTAGAGGCGCTCAATCGAGAGGGTGTTATATCAGCGAGTAAGGTATTCTTGGAAATTTTAATTAGAACTGATTGTACAGGATAATTTGCACTTGAACTTGGCCCAATTTTTTTTTGATGGATTCATGGAATTTGTTTGTATATACGTTAGGGTGGGAGAAAACAATTTATATAAAAAATTATTTATAAAAATTATTTAATGAATTATTATAGATAAATTAATAAAAAAATTCCTAAAAATTGGTTTATTATTTTTTTGAGTTTTGATGATTGAAAAATATTTTTTCTATGTCCGATTTTAACTTTAGAATCTTTAATTTGTATTAATAATTAAATTTGAATTAGTAAAGAATCAACTTTAATTATATTGAAGTACTAATTTGTCAACATTACAAAATTAGCAAATAAGGACTATTCCGTAAAGAAAGGAAATTGCAATGGTTGCATGGTATTTAGACCATTTGTAGACATATATTTTGTCCGAAACTTATTTTGAAGTTTTCATATTATATCTTGTATTTAGTAATATTTATTATGTTATATTATATATTATAGTATGTATATTTTATATATATATATAGTATTTATAGTATATTATATATTATATAGTATTTATTAGGTATTGTATTTATTATATAGTATTTATAATATATGTTTTATATTTTATATTACATAGTATTTATATTTTATATAGTATTTATATTATTATATAGTATATATATATATAGTATTCATATAATATATTTTTATTTATGTATAGTATTTTATTTATTATATTTATACATATAATATATTTAATATTTATATTATATTATATTATTATATATCATATTATATTATTACATAATATATTATTATTACATAATATATTATTATTATATAGTATTTAATATTATTATTTGTTTTTATTTTAGGTCCAAGTCCAATCCGAAAGGAATTCAAAGGTCTAGGAGCAGTCCAGTCCAACAAGGGGCCCAACAGAGCATGCGAGCCTTAACCCAAAAAATAAGCTCGATTAAGATCAAAGAGGGGAAGGCTTATTTCAACCCAAGTCAGCTAGGGTTTCTAGTGTTTTTAGTATGAGCGTCGCAACATCAGAGTCGTTAGATCGAGGGACTGATCAACGGTCCAGATATTGGTATAGTAGGGTTTTAATCCCTAAAAATATTATATCACATACGCGGCCACACGAGAACCGTAGGATCTGTTTCTTTGATCCAACGACTCACAGCAGATCAGAGGAACCTAAGGGTCAACAACCAGTCGCTAACTATCTAGGGTTCCTCGAACAATTATCTCATACTAGGTAAATTCTTAACCATTCCCTCTCTTACTAAGACTACAAAATGTTCTTGTGAATCATGGCCAATACCAGGTATATAAGTAGTGATTTCAAACCCATAGGTTAATCGTATTCTGGTAACTTTACGTAAGACATAGTTTGATTTTTGGGGGCAATAGTGGAAACGTTGACAGATAAGTCACCCTTACTACACTATACAGAATCATACATGAGATTTTCACCTCATACGGATCTTCGTTCAATTCTTTCGAAGTCATTGGGTTCATTTCCTCGTTTGGGATCTCCTCCCTTCACGATACACGCGTCGAACCAAAACATTCAGACCACTTTTTTTGTAACCGAATCAAAGTTGATTGAAGCAACAGGGAAACAAATTTTTCCCCTATTATTTGGTGGCATACAAATCGAACCAAAATGGCAACAGAATCAAATAAAAAGAGCAACCGAATTGGGAGAAGGAAACAAGGATCAAATCGTAAACAAAAAGGAAAAATCCTTTTAGCATGCAAAGCGAAATCTAGCCAAAAGGGAAGTCTATTCCTGAATCAAAGTAAATCGTCGAGCAAAAGGAATACAGATCCTTTTTTAACGGGGATCTATATTCTCCAAACAAAGGAAAGAAGCATCCTTCGAAGTTATATAAACCCCTAAGAGAACAAAGAAAGACGGGAAGCATTAGCATTTGAGTACCAACCAAAAAATACAAAAATTTGAAAAGAGAGAGAGAGACTTAGCTTTCAGATCTTACTTGAAGGAGGAAAAGTTACCGAACATTCGAAAGCTCAGTCGTCCTCGAGGTAAAGGTAAAAAAATAGTAAAGTTTGATGTAGATCTACGCCGATGGGGTGGTTTTTGGGCTAAGGCTAGGGTAGAAACGGGTTTAGGAGAGTGATAGTTTTTGGACTAGTTTTTAGGTTTTCGACCACCGATGGTGGTAGGTGTTGGAGGAGTTGTCGGTTAGGAGAGAGGAAGAAGGAGTTGAAAGAATTTGAGAGAGTTTTTTTAAGGAAGAATGAAAAATGAAATAAAAAGAAAAAGAAAAATAAGGCTTATTTATATAGGGGACTTGAGTGCAATTAGAAGATTTTTTAAATTATTTTCTCGGTCCCTTTACTTTTGATACATAATTCATTTTGGCCACTACTTGTGATTTAACCCTTAAATTTCAATTTAATTCAATTTAATCCTCTTTTAATTTTATTTTTGTATTTTTATAAATTGGTACCATGACCTTTTTTGTTTTGCAGTGTTTCATTTATTTATTTATTTTTAAAACATTATGTTGGGCTCTTTTTAAATATCAAAATTCGTCAAAGATAAGTAATTTGGATCAAGCATTTAAATTTTAATCTAAAATTCAAATTTTGCAATTAAGACAACTGGGTAATCGTGTTGGTACCGAAAGGGCATTACAAAGGTGCTCATCCTTCCTTGATTGTATTCGACTCCCAAATCCGACTACTTTCTGGTAAGATGCAGATCTGGTAAATGGTAAGTTTTAGGTATCCGATCAACCTAATTCGAAATGATCGGTGGTGACTCCATCACATCAATTTCACGTCGAAATGCAATTTTGGGACCACCCGAAGGACCGTTGCGACAGCTTGGCGATTCCATTGGGGACATGAAGATAGTCAAGCCATAATCGGTTATTTGTTGTCTTTTTAAGAGAAAATTGTAAGTTTGAGTCTTTATTTAATTTTTAGATCCGTTTTATTTACCTTTGATTATTTTTTGAATAAATAGTTGGACTAATCGTTTTCAAATGATTTCAGTTTTTTTTTTTAAAACAACACTCATCTCAAGCTCTATACCCAAGCTCCAAACCTTTTTTTAAAATGGGGATGAAAGTGACGCTTCCATAAGGATTTATTCTCTGTACAAGCCTAGCAAGTAACCTTCGGCGTTCATATACCTTATGGCTTAGTGAGAATTTATTCTTCGTACAGGCATGAGGAATGTATCCTTTCGAGTTTAACTCGGTCCAAATGAGCCTATGATAGATTTAGGACTAAGGGAGGCCCAAGGGGCACCAACAAGGAGAACTCGGCTCCATTTTTAGAACCAAACCGTGTTGCTGCAAGGAATTAGAGCCCACCCCAGAGCCACATCCAAAACCAATGATGATTAATTTACTTTCTTTCTTTATATTTACTATTCGAAGTATGCGAACTAGAAATACATGTAGTTAGGATTTGTTCAGTAAAAATAGCATGCGAGATAGAAATTATGTTCGGGTAGGAGCAAAAGCATGTGGGGTAGGAATTATTATTTTGATTTTAGCTATTATTTTTCCTTACTAACTTGTTTTTTCTTATTCTTTTTTATTTCTTATTATCTACATCATTAAATAGTTTTCATTAATAGACAAAGGGATTGTGATGCAAAAGGTTAAAAACGCAAAGGTACGGCTATAGTCAAAGAATACTCATAATATTTTTAATGTTTCGATGCTTAGGAGGTATCAATAAGATTCTTCGCATATTATCACCCCGGAGGAAATAGAGATTTGGCCAGATTTGACTTATGAAAAAGAATTAGTACTTATTAAAGTTCTACGAAGAAATCAAAGCGTGAAAAAACAACATCCTTATCTATTTACATTAGGTACATATTGAAAATTTGAGGATGATTTTTCTTAAGTGCGGAAGAATTGTAATACCTCAAAATTTTAGTTAGTGACCAAAATATAAATTTTGAAAGTTTGATGGCCAAAGTAAAAAATTGAGAAAAGTTTAATGTACTAAGTGGTAATTTTCCCAAAAAGATTTTTATTCCATAAATGGATTTGATTAGTGACCAAAATATAAATATTGAAAGTTTAGTAGCTAAAATATAAAATTAGAAAAAGTTTAGGGACCTAAGTGGTAATTTTCCCAAAAAGAATTTTATTCCATAAATGGATAGTTTACTATTGAGAGTGGAGTTTTATTGAAATCGGATTCTTGATCTGGAAATTGTGTTAAAAATTAGGAAATATTAAACTCCGGTAAAAATTAGGTAAATCAGATTGAATAAAAATTTTGAAGGATGATAAATTAAGCTTAGAAATATTATTTCCACATTTTAAAATGATGGAAAATAATATGGAGCATTGAATTTGAGAATTTATTTCCATGTTCAATTTAGACTGTTTGATGAAAAATGGCAAGATTGAAATTTTTGGAAAATAACATGGGCAAAGTTGTAAAGGGTAAAATATTTTATTCATCTTTGACTTTGAAAGATGATAAGGTTTATGAGGCTTGGTATTAAGGTAAATATCAAGTTTTATTAAGGGTAAATTAGTAAAGATATTTT